CATGCACACACATAACGCCAGGTTCACACATACTCCGTTTGCAGTACATATTGTTTCCGCGCTCATGTTGACGGATTAAAGCGTTCACACTGCTGTGGTCCGGCAGTGTGTTTTTAGGAGCGGTGCGTCTGCAGCAGAGCAGAGATAGTTTCCGCTGCACGCGTCTGAATTAAAGTCACAGCGCATTGTTTGCGGTAAATCTGAACATGGACTGACACGACAATGTAGTAACTACACTATAAATGCATAGAAGTCTACTGTGTTTCACAGTCAACACATAGGCTACGGCTTTTTGGCTAGGTTTAAAGGAAAAGAGCACTCCTTACCTCTCCTTTCACCATGCGAACTTTGGCTAGCCACCATCCACAGGGCTCTTTATCATTGGCCCTGGAGTAAACCTGTTGAAGACACAGGTAAATGTGGTAAACTTATATAAAAAAAAAAAAAGTGCATTTGTGTAATATGCGCTTAATTTTAAAGAACATTCTCCATGTTTAGCAATATTTGATAGCACCTACCTCCACTTCATCACTCTCGTTTATCTCTTTCTGAAAGCCGGTCGGAGGTGGAAACTGAACATCGTGGAAAGGAATCTGTCGTTCTGGCTGCCAACTGCAGAACGATAAAATATAGCAACTTATTTTTTCGTTTACATTTTATAATTTTTTCCCCCTTTTTCATAATTGCATAAGGAACCAATACAATATCACTTTCAGATTTCATGAAGTCATATATTAACTTATATGTGTATATATTTACAGTGAAGACAAAACAAACCATGTACATCTGAATGTGAGACTATTTTGACCTCACGATACATTTGTTTTGGTACTCACTTGTTCTCAAACGAGACTGTGACTGTACTCTCGTGAACATCTTTAACAGAGGCCTGTAAGAAATAATGAGGCATTTAATGAACATTTTGGAGCATCACAGGTGCCTATAATGACCAACAACATTATTCATTAACAGAACTAAAATATAATGAAAAAAAATTACAAGATAACATTACAAATATATATATATATATATATATATATATATTAGGCCTGTCGCAATAATCAATATATCGACTTATCGCATGTACATGACCTCAATAATTTTTAGTGATGCAATATATCGCCCATTATATTTACTTAAAAATTAATGTCACCATGTTTTGTACATTCCACT